ACAACTTTTATTCAGACCACATTCCCAGATTCTATCGTTTGGTTACTCAAAAATAGGATACAACCGAAACTATTTCCAGATTCCAGACTGCGCAGAAACTTCAACTTAAAACAGAGATATCTCACAAACCAGATCAGATATGGGGGTGATTCCAGAGGCATTGGAAAGATACTTAAGTTTAGTTGTTCCCATAAAAATTTAATAATTTTTGGTCATGTAGATTTTAATTAGCATTGAGATAGGTGCAGACTGCTCCGAAGAACAGATTCCGAGAGAACAAGATATAACAAATCCAACTATTTATTTATTGACCCAATCTTTAATATTCTTAACTATGGAACTTGCGGACATGTCCACAAAGTTCTAGCACTCATTACAAAGATCCAACTTACACATAAACATAATAACAATTCAACTAAGCACACCAATGTTCACACTGCACTAATAGATTCGGCTAGACTCAACTTAACTCATTCTACTATCGTTTTATTATATAAAAGGGACTCCAACATCTATGGGCGAGACTTATGGGGAAGCTCCTCATACATCTTTGATAAGTTGAGGCACACCCTTTGTTCATCTATCACCTGTCGGTGTCTCTTGATGGTTTTCTGTTGTGCCTTCAATTGAGCCTCCAATCGGCGAATCTTTGCTATGGACTCATAGCCAAAGTGTACCATCACTTGGGTTGTTGGGTCCGTGCCCTGTGGGTCCATCATTGTCCATCCCAATTCTGGGTGTTCGTGAGGGAGGAATCGATACTAGTCATTCTTCGTATCCTCGAATCGACGACCATGGAGGCCTATGCAAGCTTCTGCGGCTGCATCCTCTATGCTGTCCTCCATGGTAGCACAGTGAGCATGGTGTGCATAGTTTGAATCCAGCTGATATGCGTCTTTTTATTCGTCCTTGATGGTGATGCACACCCTGGTCTTCCAATAGGTGTCTTTAAGAGGGTGTGTATGTTCTTTGCAGACGTACTCCACAGCTGCATCCCAGTCGCCGTAGTAGGTCTGAAGCATGCTCATGAGTCGGTGATGTGAAATGGAGGGTTCACATCCCAGCTTATACCACACCTTTGTCGTCCACCCTAGGGTAGGATCGGCTCATCCTCTTCAACGACGTCTTCCACATCATCATCGTCGGACAAGTGGACGACCTCAACTTCTTCGGGTTCCTCCTGGACTGGCTTAGGCGTAGGTACAGGTGTTGGCGGTGTTGGCGAATCAAATTCTTGTTCCTAGGGTTCTTCCTCCTCAGGCTCCATGGATAAACCACGAGGCGGGTAGTACCCTCCAGCGCTGATGCGGGCAGTCTTGCTGGCACGAGGCATCTACAGAATTAGATTTAGTTAGATTAGATTAGAAGCAATAATTTTCATAATAGAATAAGGCAAAAGAAGCATAAAACTTTAGCAAATAAAAAGGGTGAGATAGAAAGCATGAAATGTGTGAAGCAAAAGAAACTAAAACGACCATTGCTAACTACGCTTGCATCCTACAGTCAACATAGCTCTGATACCAATCTGTCGCACCCAATTTTAAGGATAAAATGGGATGCAAAATCTTATATGCGCTCAGAGATCAGTCACACACATAAGCCGACAAATTATGAATAGTATCATCGCAAGTGTTTATTACATCACGAATAAGACAGAGTTATCACATAAATATAGCGGAAATAGTAAAAGATCTCTCGCGGAAGCTCCATTTCACAGGGACGTCGACTAGTTGACCACAAGTCTAGAAGTCCTTAGTAAAATCATCATACCCATAGTCATATGTTACCCATTCGGGATTTTTATCCAAATAATGAAAATAAACAAGCATAAGTACATGTCGTACTCAACAAGTGTAACATGGGGTTTATGAGGCTCAAAAGGCTTGACACAGGTTTAACAGCATTCAACTTTTAGTTGTTACAATTTTAGCTTAAGAGTAGCAACAAGTTGTTTCAATTTCTAATGCAAAACACATGATCAAATATAAACATGAATAAGGAATAGCATAAACAGGTAATACTTAGTGTTCATCTATTCCATAAGGGTTCCAAGGCCGCTCATGACCATGAGCACGGCTGATATACCAGTTTTACACTCTATAGAGGTTGTACACTTTCACCGTGAGTCGTGATACCCATATGCCCGGGTTAATTACTTCCAAAACACTTCTGAGGTGAGCAGGCAGGGGTCACTATGAAGCCTTTCAATGGTTCGTCTAACAAGTTAGGGCCATTAGATTCACTCGGTAAACAGATATAGAGCCCCCTTCCCGATGGCACATTGACACGTAGCTTATACACATGGGGACAGAGGCCGCACTATACCCGATTCGTCAAACCATTCTTACACCAATAAAGGTAACCACTAACAAGCTAGAAAAGGTCCTCATACTAAGCTAAAGCCAGAGCTATGTAGCCCTCACGGTTGTACTGTAAGTCCTAGATGATCACTTACAGATAAGTCCTTAGGGAGAGGAATCTGGAGCATTTAGAAAGTAGCTAAATATTCTAGCCCCCTGTTTCCAAGTTGCTAAAAAGTCATAGTTTAATGTTTATTGCATATACCATTAGTCAAGTTACAAGATCATAGTTTAATTGAGCACTAGCAAAGCTACCCAAATGCATAACCCGTAGGTAACCAGGTAAAAGTTTAATTCTAGGGAATCTCTATCAAGACGACACATGCAATATGAATTTAATGAATTAAAGTGAATAGGAAACAAGGATGATCCCATGCTATACTTGCCTTGAGCAAAGTACTCCTACTGGTCCTGCTCGTCAAAGTTGTACCCTTGATCTCCCATGAATTGCTCATCGTCTATACTAGATAACACAGCAACATACAAACATCCAGGAGCAATCATGCGAAGTAAACAAAGCTATAGATTAGAACAGTACACCAACAGCATAAAATCAAGATGAAAAGTTTGGAAAACAAATCTACGTCTCGCTACGAACACACATACGCGAAGATCACAAAAATCGGAGCTAAAACAAAAAAGTTATGAATTAAACAAGTTTTCCTTTAGTAAAATAATAGATTAAATCTAACCTCGAATTTTAAAAGTTGAAAACCTACTTAACAGTAGTATAAACATGTAGATTACTTTATTATGAACCTAACGCAACTTCAACGGATCAAATCGGAGTTAAAACGAAGATTTTATGGCTAAAACAAGTTGAGTGGCAAAACTGTAAATAATTAAAAATATATTTTCAATATAGGAGGAATCCCCTGCGTGCCATTAAAAAAGATCGCAATGCCCTGTGTGCCCCTGGAAAAGTTCAGCGGTCTTCAGCGCCACTGCTCCCTCCATGCCACTACCGTCAGTTTGAGCTCTAACGCCGTCAAACTGCAGGTGTGAAAAGTCAAAAATATCCTTAAGTCTAAATATGTCATTAATTTTTTTGAGCATCTTAACGACTTCAAATGAAAAAACTAAAAACTACAAAGTTGTAGATGTCGTCGAGATCTATAATTTTTATATAAAAATTATCTTCATTTAATTCCGCAAAAAAAAGATATGATTTTTCTAAGATATATTAAACATATCAAGTCATATTTTTTGCGGAACTAAATGAAGATAATTTTTATATAAAAATTATAGATATCGATGAGATCTACAACTTTCTAGTTTTGAGTTTTTCATTTGAAATCGTTAAGATGCTTAAAAAATTAATGACATATTTAGACTTAAGGGTATTTTTGACTTTTCACACTGCAGCTTGATTTACAAGTTAGAGCCAAACCGACGATGTATGGAGGGAGGGCACAAAAGTTAGAGCGGTGGTCTTTGAGACCATGAACTTTTACAGGGGCACACAGGGCATTACGATCTTTTTTAATGACACACAGGGAATTCCCCCTTCAATCTAACCGAATCAAAATACGCTTTTAAAAGGAGAAAACAGAATCTTGAAAGACGATAGGGATGGCGGATTAATACTGAAATAATTATAAGGGCTCTTATGCAAAGTTCCAGAACGAAGGGGTATCCTTCATCCTGGGCCGCTGGATTAGAGATGGACGGCCGAGATTCATCCGAGCGGGAAGAGAGAGAGAGCGCCACGCCGGAACAGGGCCGGCGGCGAGGTTGACCACGGCGGCGCCATTAGAGAGCTCACTGGAGCTTGCGGTTAGGAGGCTACAGCGCTTGATTTTTCAAACGGAGAAGCCCGGGAGATAGAGGGAGAGATGGGGAACTCACCGGACCCAAGAGGAGCTAGCGAGGAGCAACGGAGGCGGCACGGCGCTTCAGCGGTCGGTGGCTGTCGCGGCGGCGCTAGGGCGAAGTGCGGCTGCGGCTAGCGCGGGGCGAAAAGCTTGCTGCGAGGCGGGATAAGGAGGCGGAAGGGATCGACCGGCTATTTATGAGGTGGGGATTACTTGGGAGGCACGGCGTGGCTCGTGGCGGAGGCGGACATGGCGTCGGCGCGGTGGTCTCCGGCTCTGTTATGGCGCGAGGAAGGAGAAGGCGCCCTGACGGGTGGCCCGGCGCGTCAGTGGGACGGGAATGCGGCGCGGCGCGCGGAGCTGGGCCAGCTGCCTTGCTGGGCCGCTGCGGGATGGGGGGCGCGGGGCGTAGCGCGACCTGGGCCGGGCGCTCAGCTGGGCCGCGCGAAGTGAAGCGGGCTGGCGCAGAGAAAAGGAAAAGAAGCAAGCCCGTGCGGAAACAGGCCACGCGGGTGGACTGGGCCAGCAGGCCGGAAACGGGAAAGGAGGAAAGAAATTCATTTTTCCTTTTCTAATTTTTCCAAAGCAATTTCAAAATGAAATTTCAACTCAACTTGAAACCCGACTTCAAACCAAGCAATACAAAATATTATGCAACAGCATGAATACACACTCATGTATGTTAACCTATATTTGATTTTAATTTAATAAAATTATTATTTCTCTAAATTCAATTACCCACAAAATACATAACAAATCAATTTCCTCTATTTTGAAAATATGCACATCCTCTTTCGTTTCTAGCATTGGCTTGGTGATCTGAAACTTGGGATGTCATATTGGTCTGGTTGTTGACTGCTCCCCACCTACTAGCGACCCTTGGATGCATCAGGCCGTGGGACGTGTCTGTCATTAGACCTTGGAAGCCTTTTTTAGCAGCAGCACGTGAACTCTCGCCGAAGAACTGAGATATCCTAGTAGTAGCCCTTTGTCGCTCACCATAGCTTCTGTAAGCACTGCTGCACTTCCTTTCCCTGAATGTAGTAATGTAGATTGGATGCCTCTTGCTGTTCAGGTTTGATTCTTTCCACTTCCCCTTATCTTGGTATGAAAGTCTGCTTGGTGCTTGGTGAGGATCTTCTTCAACACAAGATGCAGGATCCAAACATTGCAGCTTGGATGGTGGATTTAGCAGGACTTCATCGCAACCGAGTGGCCTATTGAGGAGATCTTCTACCAATGGATCCTGGACCCATGTCTCGCCAAACTGAGTTTCTTGTTGACTCTGTGAGAGTGCACTCCTGTCTTGGACAAGCTTGTCGCTGCTGCTGATGCCGGCTAGGATCTGGATGTCCTTGTTGTGCCATACCTCGAGCTCTTTGTTAGACTTTGATTCCTTCTGCAACTGATAACTCTCTATGGTGTTCTGCAACTGACAACTCTCCATGGTGTGCTCCCCCCTATGTTCCTTGATGTAGAGATTCTGCTTGGCAGCCCGCTGAAGGAGGTCTTCTAGCTGTGGATCGAAGTACTGCTCCCTCTTCTCGCGCCGGTTGGAGCTAGTGGTCTCAAGCAGCTGCTGCAGATCCAGAACCACTCCAGGAAGTATTGGTCGACCTGCCGGGGAATGCGGCCCGAACAAATTGGCTGCCGTGGCAGGCCCTACCTGTGATGTAGAGAAGCGACCCGAGGCCTCTGATGTCAAGGAAACGTCGATGAGAGACCCATGGATTGCTAGATTGGAGGAAGGCGCACTCGGATCTGCACATGGCTGGGTCGGAGAGGAGGAATTAGTAGTGGATTTTCGGGGGATTTTGGTGTTCGGGCTCAGAAGGGGTGGGGAGCGCTTCCTTGCCCCCGCCCATCACTTTCCTGATTTGTATATGTAAAAGTCCGCTATAAGAGGCTAATCAAATACATGCGCTAGTGTTGTTGTCTAGAGGAGCTAGTGTTGATATATCTTACTACAGGCTATATGTTGTTACTACAAAGAGACTACTATCTTTCTCTTAATGAAACGATTGCAATAATGCAAGTTCTCAAAAAAGAAAAGAGCTATTATCATGGTTGACTGAGAATTGGACCCTGCAAATACTTGGATGTAGAGAATTATGCTTCTACTTGCCATTTTTTTACTATGGCAAATTACCTACCAAAATTCTGAATTATTACCTTGAGGACCAAGAATTTTCTTAAGTGCCAAAATAAAACCGCCAAAAAAAATATAGTTTCCTTGGTTGTGGGCATAGACCTCCAAGGAAATATGTATTCCTTGAGGGTTGATGTAAACCGCCAAACAATATGAAGTGTATATGAGCATGAAAATATTGTGATATGAACAAACTTCAAAGTTTTCCTTAGGTTGTATGAAACTTTGGGAGATGTATCCATTTGTTAAACAATGTACAGGCCGACTTTCATTTTTTTCAAAAATTTTTAACTCAAGTTTATACACCCATGATACGATCTCATGCCAAATTATAGGGCTTTTGCACAACTTTTAGATATTATCATTATTTCTTTAGATACGTTGCAAATACAAGCTTGAATTATTCCTAACAAACATTTGAACTTCTCGTCTACTTTTAGGATGTCCTTAAATATTGTATTAAGATGCTTATTAAAAAAAGTGTGGTTATTTTGGTTTTGTTTCATAACTTGTAGAACATTTTATTAATTCAGACTAAAAAGAAAAAAAATATGGAAAACTATTAACAGTAAAGGGCCGAAACAACTTTGATTTGGACCATGATTCGGCCCACCTCAGTCCATATTGGACCATGCCATGCTCCTGGACGTTGGATTAGTTTCGAACTTATGAGACATGCACAACACCTTCCAAAGCCATATATATATATATATATATATATATATATACACACTTATTCCTCAACTATGCCTCTCCATCTCTCTCTCCTCTCCCAACAAATGTCCCATGGCATCGCAGCTTCTTCCTCCCTACTCAGTGCGATGGCCCCTCCCCTGGCCGCAGTCATCATATGCTACAAGCAACCCTCGAGCAGCGGCCGGCCACCATCACCATTTTTTACTATGCCAAATTACGTACTGACTTCACTATATTTTGGAGATCAAGCTGCATGAGCCAATATATAGTCATCTTTTACTACCAGCATGAGCCAATATATAGTCATTTTTTTACTACCAGCATGATCGAGCCAAGATGCCCCCTCCCCTATATATTCCTCACATCATTATATATTCCTTATTATGGTCATCTTTTCTTAGATCAACTCTGGGTGGTTCATGGGCATCAATGAGTATATTAGAGATCAAGCTGCATTAGCCAAAGAGCAGAGGGTGCCCCGGTTCTCCAACCTCTAGGCACGACATGATTGCTTGAGCTTGGGTCGAGTCCAAATGCAAAGGGGGCAATCAGTTCGAGTAGTTGCACCATATAATCCGGCGAAGTATCTTTGACAACGGCGGATCTTCCGATGCAACATAGAGAAGTGGCAGACTTCTTTCCAATGAGTATGCTAGAGTGCTTCAAGGCTAAGACAAATTAAAGCATGTGTTTCTACTTACACTCCATAGTTATTAAGGCGGTAAGGCGAGGTGCGGCGTCCGACCCCCTTCCAGACACCTATGTGCGTTTAAGGCACGAGGCGAGGCGACGCCATACAAACATCTTAATATATAAAACCACTAGAAATCAGAAGCAAATCATAACATATAATACCAGAATAAATAGTGTTGCTAGAGTAATAGGGCACAACATAAAGTAGCAAAATAGCAAATCTGAAATCTCTCATCTCTCAATAGGAGCAAATTATACTCTAGTGACATAACATAACTTAATTACTAGTACCGCTAGTGCAAAATAAATATAAGTAGCATAAGTGCTGATCTAAAATCTCTAGTCAACAACTCAACATCATCTGGGCATGTCCACTCAAGCAGTCTCTCATCTCCATTCTAATTGCAGCGGTAGCTTTGATGCACCTTCTTGTGTCCCCAAAGCCACCTGCCAGATGTTTCTTCACCCTTTTTATCCCTCCATAAAATGAGGTACCACATAGGGTTCATGCTACCACATCTTTATTTGTTTTGAAGGTTTGGTAGGCATACTTCCATCCTGGATCCTCAAGATTTCCCTTCTGAGCTGGATCAGTCTTCAGATCATAATCACTGGTGATGCAAGATGAACTTGCCATTGTGATATCTGCTACAAAACAGAGCAAGCAACGAGAAGCAGAGTAGAGGCTCAGAGTAGAACAGAGCAGAGGCGCATCTAAGCACAAGAATCAGAGGAGAGTAGAATAGAGCAAGAAGAGGAGAGTAGAACAGAGCAGAGGTGCAGGAGAGTAGGAAGGGACATCGAAATAGGAAGAAGACGGGGAGGCACCAATCAGGGACGGCTCCTCATACCTGTGTGACGTGAGCTTGCAGACCATCGGACGGGGAGGCACGAATCAGGGAGGAGTCATTGAAGAAGAGGTAGGATTCGCACATCGATGGAGTAGAAGGGGAGGGAGCAGCTGGAAGGAGGAGATGCTCTGCCGGCGGGAACTCCAGGTTCGCGCGGCCTCTCTCTTTTCCCTCCCGCGGCCTCTTTCCTTCTCCCGCGCAGACGGGTATACTCCACTTCACTCGTTTCCCCGCCACGTGCAACTCTCTCGCGCTTGTTTCCCTCCCGCGCACGCATCAGCTCCCCGTTTCCCTCCCCCGCACGCACGCAGCTGCTTTCACGCGGCGTTCGCTTGGATGCCCAATCGTGCCTAGGCGACACCTTCCAACGCAAGGCGATGACAAACAGCCTTCGGTCGTGGTGAGCCCAACGACCAGCTTCAAAAATCGCCCGGACGCCTAGGCGACGCCTTAATAACCATGGTACACTCCATCCCACCCTCTCAGTTCATGAAATATCACATCCAAGGCCAGAATAGACATTATAGTGCATGCTTGTGAGGTTTAGACCTTGAACTTGAGAGCTTTGAGAGATTGGGCTATTGTTCCCTTTATATTGGTGATCGAGCTAGAGCACTTGAGGTCTTCATAACCTTCTAGTGAAGGCGTGGTGGCCTTCTAGATGGCAACCCTCTGTTCTCTGAGCAACCTCGTATCGAAAGACATCCCTCGTGTAGAGAAGCTCTCGACATCAAGATGACCAAAAGAGCCGAGTGACAGTGGTGAGACTTCATGATTCACAGTACTAGCCTTTGATTGGTTAGCAGATGCCTTGTGTGGCAAATCCAACACTGTGACTGGGAGCATACCTCAGTGGAGCTCTCAACGTAGATTACGGGTCATAGTTTGGCAATCGATACAACAAGATATATCGTCACGTCTCAAATAGTTTACCCTCTATAACTTCAATTATTTACTACGTTTATTGCTTTCGCTTGTGCTTTGCTTTTGTGGCATTTACCTCTCTAGATTAGATATTGACTTAGTTGATAGGATTGCCTCTAGGTTGCTAAACTTTTTTAGAAATGAGGATAAGTTAGAGCGCACAAGAGAAAACTTAAATGAGCATGTCGTTGGGCCAGGGGTAGTTTATGGTTTTTCTAGTCGTTAGTTTAATTTGGGCCCTAGAATTTAAGTTTAAATTAGACATATAATTTAACCACTCCTGGAGGTTCACGGGACTTTATTACAACTGCTAACATGACAGAAGCAGGGAAAAAGACAAGTGGCTACGATGTCACGTTATTAGAGTTTGCCATACTTGTCGATTAGTCCAGTTTACGGACAGATCGAGCTAAGCTAGGTTATGCCGTGTCAACGATGACAACCTTTAAATGGTACGCTCGAGGTAAGAAAATACGTTAGTGTGGACTCAGTTCAATTTATATGGCGGTAAATGTGAATAAGGCCTTTTTTAGTTTCTCATCCTAAAGTTTACTCCATATCTCATTGAATGTTTGACATACATGCAGTATTAAATATAGACTAAAAAAATAAGTAATTACACAGCTTACGATTAATTTGCGAGACGAATCTTTTAAACCTAATTAGTCCATGATTTGACAATGTGGTGCTACAGTAACACATGTGCTAATGAAGGATTAATTAGGCTTAATAAATTCGTCTCGCGTTTTACTGACGAATTCTGTAATTTGTTTTTTTATTAGTATCCGAACACCATATACGACACCCCCATGTGACACCCGATGTAACACTCCAAAACTTTACACCCTGGATTTAAATAAGGCATAATTTACTTTTATTCAGTACATATGAAATACTATTGAGTACTCCATAGTACTGTATATCTCATGTGAAGTGGAAGTTTTTGTGTCTACTGTCGACCAACTGAGTCAACAACTGGGCCGGAGCTCAACACGGCCCGCCTCTTCTTGCTTATCGGCCGGTTTCACTGTCGACTACTCAATATGGTTGGCATCGTAAACAGATCCCAGATTCTCTAGTGAGCAGAATCAGTTCTGATAGCCATATTTGAATGAATACCCGTCAAACAATGCGTGACGAACACACGCCACTGACTAAACAAACCGACGTTTCCAATCTGGGACTACTGACAGCAACAACTGAATGAAGTTGCAAGTACCGCTTGCAACTATATATAGTTTTATTCTGCCACTCTAGGAAAGTCTGCCTCGAGAGTGGCTACCGACACACATCAACGACAACAAACCGTTCCGTCCCCATCGATCAGGAACACAACAGTCGATTACAGACTTGAGTTAAGTCGTCATCCGCACAGCAGGGTGCGTGACACACTCAACACAGACACAGACACAAACACAAACACAGCAGCAAATTCCCGGGGCACGCACGGGCGGCGCACACATCCTTGGCCGGCTTTGCCGGCCGATGACGGCCATGCGCATTCGATTAGGCGTCGGACCAGATGACGGGAACCACGCCGATGTTAGAGTCGAGCCCGAGCGCGTCCCAGACGGCCTGGGACGTGTCGACGATGTTGTTCTTGCAGCCGTGGTGGGAGTCGCACTCGTCGACGACCCGGGCCACCACGGTGCGCCCGGTCTGCGTGCTCGTGATGCGGATCGGCTTGAAGCACCGGCTCCCGCCCGCGTACCACCCCGTGGACAGCGCCGTGATCAGGTCCTTGTTGCTGTGGTAGTGCCCGTCGCACTCCGATGGGCCTCCGCCAGACCCGCCCTTCTCAAACGAGTTCACCGTCATCATCGCGGGCGTAACACCGTTGGGCGACACGGCCGGGGACGAGCAGCGGTGGTCCTTGTGCCGCGGCAGGGCCGAGTCCCCGCACGGTCCGGGTCGTGGTGGTGCCGGGCCACGGCGCACCACGACGCCTGCAGAAGCAGTACAGCGACGGCCAGGAACGCAAGCTTGGTGCTCGCCGTTATTGCTGTGCGCCCCTGCGCTGCTTGCCTGCTTTTGGCTGGCTTACTAGATTTAGCTAGCCGTGCGTGCACTTGCTTCAACTATGAGCATTGAGCGGTTTAAATAAGCAGGCGCGTGCGGCAGGCCAGGGATAGTATGCAAGCGTCAAATAGCACCTCTTGTTTGAGGACTGCGATACGAATCCTTTTCTTTCTTACTTAGAGAAGTACGATACGTCGATACTCTTCCGGTACACTCGATAGCCGATAATACCAGGACAAGTTCGCTGCAACAACGATGCTTTTGGATTTGATGGTGTCGCTAATGTGTTACGACGGTAATACCTAAGGGGTAGAAAGTGTGAGAAGGTCGGCCGTCGACCGTTACGACACGAGCGATTCGCCGGAGTACTAGATTTGCTGCTACTTTTCTTTTCGAGATAAAAGGATAGTTCATCCCTGGCTTCATCTACCAACAGATAGAATCAGGCTAATTATTACAAGGTTCGGCCCGTATGCCAGCACACGAGCTATAAAGAACTCCATCTTACAGCCACCCACACAAATAAACAAAGTAAAGTTTTTGACTAAACGAGACCAATAGACAACCACCCTTTGTAATAAAAAAAAATGCAAGGCCGACGTCTCTAAATGATGTCCTGCTAGGATCAGCTGGTCTCATTGATCATCACACCGCTGCAGTCTTGCCCATTGGCGGAGCCAGTGGTTTCCCCTGAAAAGAACCTGCAAAAAAGATTTTGGTCTATATTTGTCAAAAACCACCTCGTTTCTCGTTATCCAAACTGCCCAACACAAAGCTGATGCTGCAGTCAACAACAATGAATTATGTTTGTTACCACCCGTCTTGGATCACCTATTAAACAAGTCATCTATGCTCTGGGAGGTAATATCCCAAACATTAAATGTACAGCACGCCACAAGAATTTGGCATAAAACAATCAAAAAAAAAAAGGTGTTGAATACTTTCTGGTGAATGACAGAGGCTACACCTCGTATCACCATTCCAATTTCGTCGAGCAAGGTTGTCTTTAGTTAAAGTCACACCTTTTTTTTGTACCACAAAAATATTTTTATTCTTGTAGGAATTTTAATTTGCCATATGTCGTGTGACACTCTAACCACATTGTTAACCAACGCAACATCCATAGATTTGACGGAAAAAATTTCTGATGAATGTAGAGCCCAAACAAAAGCATCCCTATCCCCTTGTAGGTTCACATCATGTAAAGAGGCAACGATTCTATGCCAATCCCTTAGGTTCGAACCCACTAAATTCCGACGAAAAGAAATGTTCAGTAAAGGTTGAGCTAAGTACTTTTGCCACAAAATCTTGTTTTCTTCTCACAATATTGAACAAGGTGGGGAACTGCTACTTACAAGTTTTAAAGTTTCCTGGCCTTTTCCGCATGCCATCTCGCCCCTCTACTGAATTTAGCACGGATGATAGTGATTTGTGTGCGTTCAAAATTTTGATTGAACTTGAGGAAACTACGTTATGCGCCTCAGGAGCCAAATTTTCTGGTAATTAAGCCAACCAACTTATAACTTGACCGTTCGCTCATTCACTACGCGGTAAATTTGCGTTCGGGGTTAGCAGTGATCCTTAAATTTATCTCAGATTCTCACATTCAGATTCACACCCACTCAATAATAGAGATGAGTGGGAGATGTTTGCTTTAGCTCATAAAGATATTTTGCCAATCAAAATGTGTAAGAGAGTGAGCTAGAGCCAGCCTCAAGCCTTAAATAGGGAGCCCAATGCTCTACTAGCCGTTAAGCCCACGGGGGCCTGACCGGACGCCCCTTACGAGCTGACCGGACGCGCTGCTCACAGCGTCCGGTCGTCCTGCGCCGTCCACGCGTCCCTCGACTTTCATCCATGGCCATTGATCCCCAACGGCTAGGAACGTACGCACACGTGTTAAGTGGTGACCGAACGTGATGCCGTCCTGACCAGACGCGCCAGCCCGCGGCACCCGGTCAATGTCCAGAGAGCACCCGAGAGGAATTAATTTGACCGGACGCATCCGGTCCACTGTGACCGGACGCGTCCTTCCACCGCCGTGCTATCCTAACCGGATGCGCCAGCAGTGGCACCGTCGCGTCCAGGTCGCTGACTGCGCCTACGTCCGATCGCCGCTACGTTTCTGCCCATGCCTCGATCAATCGACCGGACACGTCCGGTCACAGGTAAGTGTCCCTTTTCTTCTCCTTTCTATTCAACCTTGCTTCCAACTTGCTAACCACCAAGTGTATACCTTATATGCACGTGTGTTAGCATTTTCTAAAGCATTTTACAAGGGTTAGATGTTAGCACATTACGTCCTAATGCATATGCATGAACAACATCACCTAGTGGCACGTGATAACCGTAATTCCCGAGAATTTCCCCACTTAATAGTACGGCTATCAATCCTAGACCACTCACACCCTCTATGGTGTCTTGAGTGCAAACCAAAAATGGCTTTACAGGTTATACCTTTGTCTTGAGTCCATTTTTGTTTTTCTCTTTCTTCTTTTCCAAAGAGGAGCACTTGATCCATCTTTTGGCCATCACCTTCACCATGACCATCATGTAGCTCCACCACTTAGATTGGACCACCTTATCTAATTCACACACTTAGATCAAAGGTTAGTCTAGGGTTTCATCAATTATCCAAAACTAAATTAGGGCATTCACCTCTCCCGGGGTCAGACCGCCTGGAATGGATAGGGAGTGGTTGAAGGCCATCGAGTAGGCCTGACAGAAGACATACATGCACCACTCGCTTTGCTAGGATGGAGAGGACAGCCATCCCTCGGGACGCGGGATCCTGGGGCACGCGCTCAGCCCTGTGCACAGACAAGACAACACTACCAGGCGGTGATGTCAGCTACGGCACCACGCTGCCCACACTTAAATGCGACAAGACAGGCATACGACCCCACCCACTATGGAATGGGTCGCACGCCCCAGAATCGACCTCTTAAGGTCGTCCAAGCCAGCAGGAATCTCGACCTCACCCCCCTAAGTCGAGGTCAACGATGCTATGACTAGGAAAGGCAACCGATGACCCAAGAACGTACATCTACCCCCTCACCATCGCCACGACTCCATCTCCGGCTTCCAGAGGACAAGGACGATGACCACGACGCCAGCAACAAGCCCATGCCACACAGGATAGTTGGTGAACCACTACCATTCCCATAGTGCCACCACGATCAGCATGATGACATCACATCAAGCCACGCCATGGCATGGGGAGCAAGGACACAACACCATGCTCAGACGTGCTTCGACAAGATAGAATGGATTGTCATCCAAGACATGTAGCTTTCTCCCTCTCACGGGCTCTCGGCCACTCGGGTCGGGAGAACCTAGCTCTCTTCTGTAACCTAGCCCCCATACTCTATATAAGGGGAGCCAGCACTACTACAGAAATCTTAATGGAGGCGGGCAAAAACGATTAATGGAGGCGGGCATTGCAACCGCCTCCAATCAATGGTCACGGTTAATGCGGATTAACGGAGGCGATTGCTTTGCCCGCCACCAAAAATAAATTAAAAAAACAAAAAAAGAAGGAAAAGCCCACAGCCTGAACCGGGCCTGGGCCTGGATCTAGGCTGCGCTCGATCCACCGCAGGCGAGCTCGATCTGCACCGGGGGAGCTCGATCCACCGCTGTAGTGGAGCCTGCCACCGCTGGAGGAGATCCACACCCGCGCACATGGCCGGTTCCGCCCACGCCGAGGCCAGATCTGGCCTCCCCGTGCGCCACCGTCACCGGATCCGCCTGCGCCGGGGTTGGATCCTGCTTCCCCGTGCGCCAGCGTCGCTGGATCCGCCCGCGCAGGGGCCAGATCTAGTGGAGGCGATGGAGGAGCGCCTCCACATAGGGAGAGGAAGGGGGAGCGCCGCCACGCCAGGAGAGCGAGGGAGTAGAGCACCACCACACTAGGAGAGGGAGAGCACCGCCACGCTAGGAGAAGGAGGGGTGCTGCCTAGCATGAGGGAGAGGAAGGGGCACTGCGAGGAGGGAGGAGAGAGTGCCACCACATTGGGAGAAGGAGAGGCACCGCCCGGCACAAGGGAGAGGAAGGGGCGCCGCGAGGGAGGAGGTCACTGAGGGAGGAGGCGTGAGGAACAGTGAGGCATGAGAAAGAGTGAATGAGAAACCCTAAGTGTCTGTATTTATACTCAAAACAGTTATCGGGCCTCGCTTGGGCCTGTTGGGCGTTAGCTTTTTTGGAGGCGGGCCTCATAGTACGCCCGCCTCCGAAAATAGATTTATGAAGGCGGGCACCTTAAGATGACCGCTTCCGAAAATAGGCTATTTTTGGAGACGGTTGTCTTAAGGCGCCTGCCTCCGTAAATCGATTTTACGAGGCGGGCAAACGCGACCGCCTCGGTAAATAAAAATGCCCGCCTCCGTTAATAGCCTAGCTTTTTAGAAAGCGGTTGGATTTTGTGTCCGCCTCCGTTAATGTTTGGGCACCGTCTTCTAAAATTATTTGTGTAGTAGTGTAGGCCTCCCTACCAAGGGAGAGCAACTCCATATCGATTCTCCCTGCCTCGAATCCCTTAGCTTACATACCACCATTGTAAGTCCTCAGAGCACTTGAACCGAGGAACACGAACTCGCCACCCTCTCTGAGACTGGACGTAGGGCTCCTACCTAAACCAGTATAATTTCCTTATGTCTTGAGTGCTACCATCGTCTTTCTAGAGCAGCGCGGCGCATAGAAATATACTCGTCGGTCTGCAAAACACCGACAAGACTACATGTACATTATTGTTAAGGAGTTTCAATAATTTTTAACTAATTTACTTTTTTGTAATTTTAAT